TAATATTCTTCGCATGAACGATATTAAACTAGAGTAATCTGAGAAATGTTTTGTAAATATCCATCGTAATTTTGTTTTTGTTCCTTGTTAACTATTTTTCTCGCCAATAGGTATATGTAGGACGAGGGCATCCTACACTTTACCGTACGCTGTACATGTGCATAACAAAGCATACATCGGAATTTACCCTTTCACTTTCACTTTAAAAGAATAGTGGGGCAGTTTTTGTATATTTAAGGCCGACTTTACATGTTTCAATATTATTTATTGGTCAAACACCATTGTAACAGTCTATCTTTTTAAATATATATGTGTAGTCATTTCAGCTCAACCTAACAATAAGAACAATGAGCATAATTTCACTTTAATTTTGGATTTAAAATGCATTGAAGTGTGTTATTTCTTTTTGTAAAGAGTGAAAAGATCAACAAGAGAGAACGACATTCTTTGACATAGAAATAGCAGAGTTTTATATAATTAATAAAATTCACACTAATTGTCACTTCATCAACCAATAAACATTGATGAGATCGGTATATATAAAAGTTACTTAAATTACGATTTTCATAATTGTTCGTGATTAATTATGTCATGATTTTAAAACGTCCCGGTTGAATGATATTTATACAATATAAAGCTGGAAACAAACAACCACGGTCGCGTACCAATCTGTTTGACACGTACCGCCTGGCCAATCCAAAGGAAGTGTACATGTACAATACACATTGTGTAATATAATGTAATACAGGGGTAATAAAATTTAATCTTTAGTAACCTGTAAATTAAAGTTTATTGCTACAAAATAAAATCTTAATAATTTTGATAATTTAAATGCAAATACATGTAATTTTTCTTTGGGATACTTATTTGTATGATTGGAAATAACTAAGGAAACATTATTTTATGCAAAATAACAATTTTAAACTATTTTTAGAATTATCTAAAAATATTTATTTTAAAACTATTTTTAACCCAATATTATTAAAAAATACACCTTTTATACTTTCGTATTTTAACAATTTATTTACATTTTTTAAACATACATAACATTTTATATAAATATAGCATTTTTAGCACCAGCTATTTGAGATTTATGTGTACAGGTAACTATTAGTTTCAACATAAACATAACATTATTTTAATTAAATGTTGGCCCGAGATGTTTTACTGAAACAATTGAACATTTTAGTACCAGATATTTGAGATTTTGTGTACAGGAAAAGGTTACTATAATTACGATTTGACTTTTACAGGGACATTACCAAACATATTTTAAATATTTCTTTTTTAAAAATACTTTAACAAAACATTTGCCCAGAGGTTTGGCAGAAATAGTTAAATGTTTTTAGTGCCAGATATTTGAGATGATTATTCACTAGAATGCATTTACAACGTTGTTTTTTTTTACACAGACATATGTTCCATCCGGCTGTCTGTTTGTTCGTCGGAAGGCATAAATAAACGTCTTATAAAATTGTGGAATCCAGTCTTTCTAATGGGACAAAAAGTTGGCTAAAATAAGTTTTGGATACAAATAATTTCTAAATTTTATTTTGTAGTTTTCTATCTCACACGCAGAAAATGTGGAATGTTCAAAGAACATTTTATAAATGGCTACATAAACCATAATATTCATTTAACATTGTAAACAAATATGTAAATGTAAGTCGGTACGAAATTCGCACCGTGATGATAGGGACTGGGAGGCAGGAAGTGCTACCTCTCACAGCAGCAGCCATAGATCTCATTTTCTCAACAAAAATGTAATCTGTTATTTATTTTTATTCATACAGATATCAGTTTATCAATGTATCGATATGACCAGATTGTATTAAATAACAAAATGTAGTACAATATACATTACACCTTTGATGACAAGCCGTCTACTTGTACGAGACCTATACAATTGTATAACTCTAATTGATCAACTACGGGCACACTTCAGGTCTGTTATAATTCTTTAATAGTATATCCATATTTATTTGTGTATTTATGCTTTCTCTTTTATTTTAAATTGATGAAGATACACTCGCGAGTTACGTTTTTGTTTACAGTGACTGTCCACAATTTTGTGGGGCAGCTCTCGTATAATGTTGTAATGACTTAAAATATTACAGATCAAAACAAATAAACAAACTTACAAACAGAAAGTAAAAGACAATTTTTCAATGTAGACACAAATGCAATATGTAGACAAGTTAAATGTTTGGAAAACATAAACGCACACGCACACGCATACACACAAGCACGCACACACACAAAATCCATGACTTTTTAAGTATCAAATATTGCAATTTTCATTGCTCTTGAATAACCATAACTTTACCATGGAGCCAAACAATGGTGGTGGCATTGCATGTTAGTCAATATTTTACATAAAGTGTTGAACCTATAAATAATCAAGAGTCATAAATTGTAGCTGGTTTTTAATCAGACATTCAAGATTCAAGAATGAAAATCGTTAAATTATAAATTAAATACTAGTATAAATAAGAAATAATGATTCTATACTTACTGATATAATCTCACTTATATACTCAGGTCGTATGTCATTATTGGCATTGTTTACATTTTACATTTACCGATGAACGCTTCATTTGTTAATTTGAGAGACTGACAACTATAAATAATGTCAGAATTATAAAGAGTAATGATTTATTTCATTAATTGTTTACATATTTTCTTATAATCAGCGTACATTTAGCTAGAAAGTAGCATTTATTGTAATTTTACTCGGTAAACTTTGACAGGTGTTGTTGTTGTTCGCTGATGCATTATGGGTTGTTTGACTTCCGTTGTCAATAGCAATTGCTGCCTAAACTCAGTAAACAAACCGTTTCAAAGTTATGTATCATCAAAAGCAACAAACTTATAGCCAATCCATGGTACTAGTCATTTTTATAAATATTATATGTATCAATTTATCGTATTTTTATGTAAACTTTCATAGAACTTTAGCTAAGAATTGTTGATGTTCGGACGTTCGGTTGGTTGACAGCGTTCTTTGTGTATGGAATTGATCGTTTCCGAACGTCAAATGTTCAGTTTTCGAACGTCGAACATTGTCAACCGACCAAAACGTACAGTTGAACATTTTTCGAACCTTCTTGTGTTCGTTTTCTCAGATTTGGTATAAATAGGCCAGAAAACGATCAACTTCAGTCAGTTTTCATTTAACTTTCGGTTAGTCTACATTATTGTCGTGTTCTTCTGAACGGCAAATTTTACTTATTTTTAAGGCAAAATAAAACATATTCTTTAGAATATTATTTTACATTTAATCAATTATTGTCTAAGAATAATTGATAAGAACTTTATTATTTTTGTTACACATTAATACGGTCACTGACTCGACCAAACTTTATATTTACGTTGTGATATTTTTGAATAGAAATTAAACGGCAGTCGCGGTAATATAATTTATGTGAAGTCTATGTAAGACATAGCTACGGGATATTTAGGACTGAATTATATACATGTGTTGATGTTATATACAATCCTGTTATTTGAATATTTCACAATTAAATTTATTAACAAGTTTAACACTAATTAAAATTAGTAAACTGTGAACAGTCTTTCTTCTTTGTGACTCAATTTTAATCTTAAACTGGCGTACCTCCAGAAGTAAGGAAATCAAGTACTGTGGAGTACAGTGTCCTAGCCATACAGAGTCATACAGAGTAGCCCATTATTGACCGATGTCGTAATAGCATATTTCAGCCAAATAGATCTATATAGACTTTGACAGTCATCCGAATCAAGTATCAACAGTCCCCCTAACCCTAACAATTTCTATTTTATATAGAACATTGTTATATTTGTGATCGTTTCATTGTTCGGAAATACAATATCATTCTCTACAGTCCAGTACGATTATTGGTCACCAAGTCTTGAGCACGTTACCACATTTTTAAGAGGATTAAAGGGGCCTGGTACCATATAGGGCTGCAACGATACACCAAATGTTCGATTCGATTCGATTTCGATTTTAGACACTGCGATTCGATTTTTTTCGATTCGATACATTTCTGATTACTAATTTATATTTGGTATATAATTCTGCTTGTCTGCTCCAAAAGTGAGTGGCCTTCAACCTAGTGCTTTGCTTTTCTGTTGTAATATAACTATTATATAAACTTATTTCACTTAATAATTGTGTTTATGAGAATAAAAAGCTCTTGTCTATTTGGAAAATAATTTTAATCAGGCAAATAATCATTAATCTCAGTAACATGAATATCACAGATACCTTCTGCTGACTAGGAATTTAACAAAGCATGTAAATTGTAAAGTAAATAATAATTAACAAAGTTTCACACTTATGTCAGTGTTGTCACACTTCTAAGTCTATTAAACAATACAGAAAAAAAATGAAATTTATGAAATCACTTGACTAAAAAATAATAATTAATCCCAATGTCAAATATGCCTACTTACTGTAGTACTCAACATACAAAAAATTAAAATGTTCTTGAAATTATGAATTAATGATTACTGTTCTCAGATAGAAACACTAAAATGTCACATAAAAGTTTGATTCAAACTACACTTTTAAGCAACCAACTGACTTAATTGTGTGAAACTATATTAGGCAACACCTAATCAAGTTTAAAGTTTATAACAGGTCATCCGGGGATTATAATGTTTTGCTTCAGAAATACAAGCATGTTAACTTGGTCACCAGTAAGGCATGCCCTCTGTGCTGTTACTACATCACCAGCAGTAGAGAACACTCTTTCACTGGCAACACTGGTAGCTGGAACACAGAGTAGTTGCTTTGCATATCTTGAAAGCAAAGGATATTTATCTTCCTTTTCTTTCCACCATAACAGAGGATTACTGACATCAGAGTTCAAAGGAAGACAAGCTTTCCTCCTTGTAAGAAACAAGCTCTGCTGCTAATTCTGTCAACAGATGATTTAGCAGGCTCAACCTTAGTCACAAACACATCACCAAATAAATCTGCCAGTGCACAACTATTTGATTTACAATCAGAGTCTTCAGTTTTCTTTCTTTACTTTAAGTGGTGGTTCTCCTTCCCCCAGTGTGGATAATGAAGGGAGTACTGGTACATCAATGGTAGTAGCCTCACTAGCCTGGCTAGATGTGGGTGTCTCATCAGGTTCACTTTTAACAGTCACATTCTGAAAAAATAAGCAAATACTTATTTTTAAGTAAATGTGCAGATTATATTCTTTGTAGATTGAAGTTTTTCCTATAACACATTATAAGTCTTCACTAAATTGATAAACTGTTTCATTGTTTATTAGTAGTACAAGTGAGGCGCCACAGCATGAATGATATAAAAAAAAGTTTGAAAAGAAATAGAGAACTTTGAATTTTCATCTTAATATAGAAAAAAATGACAAATGCATGGGTGATTGGATAGCATATGACAATACAAGAAATAAACTCCTACTAATTTAATACTGAGCTGATTGCATCATATTTGTATGTTGATATATAATGTTAGGCGTGTTAGCTATATAATGCAAAGATTATAGACGAGAGGCATGATTAACATACCTGACAGCTTGAGTCACTCTGTAGTAATTCTGCTGCTGATTGTATATTATCATATACTGCACACCTAGATCTATCATCCAAGTAAGGTAGACTCTTAAACCGTGGATCCAGGGCAGAAGCTTGTAAAAGGAACCCCAAAATGTTTTCATCAGTATACCTGAAAGAAAAAAAGAAGAATTTCAAATAATTTTTTTAATAATTTAATTAATTTTGTTAACTTATAACTATTCTGTGATCAGTTTGATATATATAATACATATTTGTTATAGTTATTTATTGTTTAAGCTTTGTACCATTTTAATACATTTTTTATATATATACTTACAAACATCATATGTTTTTATAATAATTTATTTATTTAATAAAGTGACAACTCATAATGGTACCATGATTTATTATTTATATGCTTTTATGTTGAAATAAATTATGTATAATTATATTATGCTGTCTGTTTTCGAAATGAAATATTGTTTCTATTTGACTTAACTAATTTTATTTAACACAGATTAATATTTCTAACCTTTGCTTGAGATCATTGCTGATTGCTGATTTTATGTCTGATACCAACATGTTGTCAGAAGGCAAGACCTCAAGTTGTCGTAACAGCATTTCCTTTAGGGGGTGTATCAGTGACACAGTAGGATGTTTCTGGCTACACATAAGAGTTGTTACAGTTTTAAGTGGTTTTAAAAATTTTGATCACTTCCTCTATGTTCTGCACATCACTTTTCTGATAATGTTACTATGTCTTTGACACTCTTTTTCACTTCAAGCAATGTAGCATATACAGCTGCCTGTTGCTCTAAATAGCGTTCACACATATCAAAACTTGAATTCCCACCTGGTTGGAACATCCATTAGTAGTTTGTGATTAGGGAGATCAAGTTTCTCCTGCATTACCTTCAAAATACTAGTAGCAGAAGTGCTTTTATGAAAGAATGTTACCACACGCCTCACCCTACCCAAAAGTCTGTCAACTTGTGAAACTTTCAGTCCACGTTGTGTTGCTAGATTCAACGTGTGGGCAAAACACCCAACATGTGGACTCAAACCCGAGTCCTTAACAGCACGAACAATATTACTTGCGTTGTCAGTAGATATAGCAGGACCTTTGCCATTGCGTTCAAGTTGCCAGGATGTTACTGTGTCATGTAGACCACTTGCCAAATTTTGAGCTGTATGAGAATCACTAAATAATTTTGTTTCAAGAGTGTAATTTTCAACCTGCCAGTTGCTATTAATAAAATGGGCAGTTACAGCTACATAATTTTCTGTGGCTCGAGATGTCCATGAGTCAGTGGTTATGGCAATGGAGTCTGCAGTTTGAAGCCGCTTCCTTACCCTATCTTCAACTTTTTTCCACAGTGAGGGAATGACTTTTTCACTGAAATGTGTGCGGCTAGGAAGTTTGTATCTTGGTTCCAAAACATGAATCATGTTCCGGAAGCCTTCACTAACAGGCTCAATCAAACCGAGCCTGCAACATTTTCAATTTTGCCGTGTTGGGCTTTCTTTAGGGATTCTGTATTTATCTATTTCATTCTGAACAGTACTGTATGGGCGCATATCACATGCCAAATACCCAGCTATTGCTGTAGAAATTGTCTGAGACCTTTCTGCAGTCACTTTCCCTTTCATTTCTGTCAATTTCAACTGATCAGCAGGTAAATTACAAACAGACCTTTTTGCTGAACTAGGCATGTCATGCTTACCAAACAAGTCCACATCGTGTTTTCGTTTCATGTGCTGCATGAGATTAGATGTACTGCCAGACTTTGGATATGACACGTCCGTAAAGCATATTTTGCAAGTTGCTTTATCCGTGTCCTGGCCTTCCCGAAACCCAAAGTGTTCCCAAACCTTTGATTTTAATTTTTTAGGAGGATTTTTCAATTTTATTCGAAAGGTATCGTTGCACCTCTAGTACCATATAGCTGGACCGTAGCGTAACATTACAAATACATATTGAACATGTATATTCGAAAAACCATGCGATCATTATAACGTTTTTCTATACCATTATTTATGTAATATCGAAATAAATGTTGTTGACATTGGTGGCAATATATTGATACTTTGCGATGTAACGTGCACCTGATATTTTGGTATAACTATATCAAACAGAAGGAAGTTTAACTCGCACGTTTGTTCATAATAACTTATAGTTTGTTTCAGGAAAAGGCAAAATTTACAGACGCTAGATTTTCAGACTCACATTACAACCGGTTATAAAGAGTTGTAAGGAAAGGTTTATGCAACTGATATATAAGATAAACAAAACATAAAACATGATACCGGCGACATTGTCAAACAATTTGTAAATTTTAACGTATTTGAACAGCATCTGCAAATTTAAAAGCAATGAATAATTTAATAGTTTTGAATATTTAAATGTAATCAGGCGCGATGTTAGTTCACAAATATCATATGTCTGCTTAAAAATCTTTTAAGAGCATTGCAAGGTTGTCGTTATCATTTAAATCGCTTGGTGTATAATAGAAAGTTACAGATTTTCAGAGATCTTTTCCCCTTTTCTCTTTGAATAATGACTTAGTTGCAATTGACACTGAAAGTGTTGTTGTTTTCGATGCAAACAAAAATGGTGATGTTGAAATATAATTGTTTTAAACACTGAATATCATTTAATGAAATAAGCTAATTAGTAAATCATGTTAATAAATAAATTTATTAATAAAATCGGTAGATGTTTACATAATATGTTAATGCAATAAATAACTGTAGGAAATTAGGACATATTGATAGATTAAATGGTGTGAAACTACTCTTGTTCTAAGCACATTACGGCTTGAATACAGTACATGCACTGATCTAAGACATTTATGTTTTCATTATGACATTATGTTATACCTATAAGAATATAAGAAAATATTAAAAGAAACATATTTTTTTTCTGTATAAATAATGTTATTTTAATAATACTACAAACACATACTTCACTGTATTTAATATGTGTCATGTGTTGACTTTTGTCAATGTTGTTTGTTTTAACATGTAAAAAAGAATTGGATCTGCTTATTGAAGTCTATATTGTTTGCTTGAATGTAAACTGAACAGAAAATGACATTTTTTTGTTAAAAAATCATCCAAGTTCGGTAAAAATATATAACATCACCTATATGAGCGCTCATTGTTCGTGAAAATAAGGCCAACACATTGATTTTGTTCTTTGTTAATGGTGACTAGTTCGGAAATAAGAAAGATTTCACGAGGTAAATTCGACTTAAAATGCTTCTTGTAATGTGAAGCCAGGTTTACAATTTAACAAATCTATGAAATGGTTAATGGCCTAGATTGTTTTCACCGATATTTACCGACTACAAATATATCTAGCATCAATTACCATTTGTTGAAAGTTTTCCCCTTAAATTACCACACGATGACAGGAGAATTTCGAGATTTATTCTTGCATGAAATGGAGTAGATCAAAAATTGTTTACGCCTTGTTCCGAAATACGATGGACAAATGCCTCCTCGGGGAAAACTTAAAATGTTGAAACTACCGTAAACTTCACATAAACAATTCACTGCAACTTTATAATGTCCTGAACAGAAAAAAAATGTTTTAATTGTCCAATGATGGATTAACCCTTGAGTATAATATGAAATAATTAGAAATGTAAATCCTGTCAGAATAGAAATGATACGTTAGAATAAACAATTGCTTTGTTTTTTATGAAGACAGATTTAAGTAGAACAGTGACAATAACTTCTTTAAGATAAAGCTAATTAAACCTCATATTTAAATATCAATTTAGTCCAATGGGTGAAATCAATGAAAGTGAAGAACAAGATTTTGTATTTTTTATGGATATCTTGAAAACGATAGAATTTGGCAGAATTTTTAAGAGAATAAAATGTGATGTTAAAAAGCGTGTTGAGTGGTACTTGAAATATGTGTTTTAGTGGCATAATGTTTTGTATAGCTCTGAAAATTCATTGGATGATATTACAAATATTATTGAAAGTATTCTGTTATTTCTAGATTACAGGTTTATTATAAATATTTAACGAAAAACAATGCTATTAAATAGACAAACTAAATTTTTTTAAACTACATGGTTCGTGGGCTGCAGTATTTGATATTCATTCGCATTGTCGTTGAAATATGAAAAAAATATGTCTTGCTTTAAATCGAATTTAATTTGAAACTATGTCCGTTTGTTCTTTATTCAAAAAATTTTTCTCTATTTTAAAGGAAGATAATCTAAAATATTACACATAGAATAACACTGGTATCGTGATTACATAAGATTTAACGATCTCACATTTACATATTTAATCAGATATTCTGTAGAGTACAATTTAATCTAGTTTTATTGTAGAATTAATTGATTTGCAAGTCGTTAACTCTTCAACGAAGATGTCTGAAATTTTACACCGTCATCTCCGGTGTAAATTTTACCATTTATAAAATCCAGAGGATGGAATAAATGTAATTCTTTAATAGGACCAAATAATGTCTCCTTCAACACAGGAATGAATACTGTGCCAAATTAAATTTTGTTGTTGTTGTTTTACTATAATTTACTCAGCCATTAAGTGTATAAAGCTGTATATCTGCTGAAAAAATTATTGTTTGACTTCTAAAGGTTTTCCATTATCAATCAAAACGAAAATGACCTTGGCAATTTGGAAATGGAACCCGGATTGCTAGATTCATAGCCCAACGCTTACATATTGAGCTAAATGGACGGCTCTGGCAGGAACAGATAATGGTACAAGTTTTATTTTACTCTTTGTAGTATGTGATTTCAAGTTGTGTAATGAATTTTTACAGACAGATTTAGCCATTATCTACAATATATCATTTTCTACATTAGGTGAATTCAAGCGTGTGGCTTCTTTAAATGTGTTTTTATACCTTAAATGAAACTTCTCTCAAAGTGATTTACGAAAATAAAAATTTAAAACTGCATTATGGACTAACTTCCGCAAATTTTACGACACCCAGTTGCTAATTTCAAGCCGCTAAGTCGTTGGGCCGCAAACGCCTTCGGTAAAACATTTTAGTGTTTCAAAATAGTATTATTACTAGCGGAACACATTTGCATTAAAACTTTGACCAAATGTTGCAAACTGATCACACACTGAATTATTTACCAGTTCACAAATTATTTTACATGCATTCTGATGAACTGTGTATTAGCAACATTCATTTCCTTTCAAAATATTCACTAAGTGATTGTCTATTTTGACACAAACAAAACAAAAAAACGCACTTAAGAGGAAAACAAAGGTTTACTCCAATTATGAAATAGTAATATTTAACAGATGACTGTAGTATCATAATATGAGCTGTAAATACTTCAGATATCAACTCGTTTATTTTCTCAAATGTATAAAGAAAGAACATTCGAAAGCATTAATGTACTTCTTATATTCAATGCTCTTGTTTAAAGTTAATATTGACCGGATTTTTTTTCGTTTATAAATAATGTAAAAAAGATTTGCTCAGAAAAATACTGATACCAGATGTAGATCACATTTATTACAAGCCAATAAAAGTATAAAGAAACAATAAGCTAACACATTTTTCAGCAAAGGTAACATTTGAAGAAAAAAAAGAACTGTTTAATAAAATATAACATAGAAAGTATTGAACGCACAAGCGTTGTATTTTATTTTTAAATCATAACGACTGTGTTTGTAGACAATTAGATTTGAGTTCAGCTCTACAGCTCCATTAATTGACTAGTCAATTCTTGATATCTGTTCCTTTCTTGTTAATAAAGTATTCCGCCAAAACTCCATGCTAAATCAAACATAAAACAAGACTTATAATATTCTTGTATGTCTCCCATACCCTCTAAACAATGTAGTACATGTTCATAAATTTAAAAAAAAACAATCATTATTTTGAGAAGTAGGCAGCAACTGCAGATTACATATTTGACACTCATAATAAAAAAATGATTAATCTAAAATAAGAAAATATCCACTCAAATGCACAGACATATTTACATATTTCATATTTACAAAATAAGATTCTGCTTTCATGTTTACAATTATCAAAAATCAATAATAATATTTTGTTTTTGCTTTGAAATAACATTTTTTGGTAGCAGTGATGTTTGTGTGCGGATAGATATAAAACAAACAATAATTTATTTTAAGAGTATGTTTTTTGTGTTTTGTTTTTGTAAGATAATGCAAATTAAATAGTTTGATAATATTATCTATATATATAAGAAGCTGAAATGGAAATAAAAAGTTGCTTTTTTGCGAATGCTTCTAAATTCAAAATTTCATGTTTGTATGTTTAAGTACAGTCATATTTTATGGTCTGTTTTCAGTTCGTGAACAGACTTAAACGGAGCATGGAACTCTTTTCCTTTTTACAGCTTTAATATGAGTTCTGTAAAGTATCAATTTTCTTTGTATTATTTATTAAATTATATGTCTCATATTCAATTTTC